GTCCAAATCTCATGGGTGATGCCTGGCCTAGGGCAAATGACTTATCTTCTCTGAGACTGTGTTTTAGCTGCAATGGGAATATTGACAACAGCTGTAGAGGGAATTCCTTAACGAAGCTATTTAAGGGGGCCCAGCCCAGGAAGTAATGGGGCTGCTGTTGGTGTTCTTGCTCTGCAGTGGGTGGCAGAACTGAGGCTGGGCCAGACAGCTGCCCCCTGCTCTGCAACTCTGCACTGTCCCATCCAGATTTGCAGGGGGTCATTCAAGAAAACTGGAGGCAACTGAGGGACTTGCTCAGCACCATGAAGTCAGCTGAAACAGCCATGCCAGGAAATGAGCCATCAGTGACTTGCCAGCATTTGTGTTCAGAGTCCCTATGTTCCTTTCAGGTTCTTGCCCAGCCCCAAGCAGGAGGCTCAAGTGGCTACTGGCCAGCTCGGCACTCAGGAGCCCGAGCAGTTCTGCTGGAGCTCTACCAGGAACACTTGGTTAGTGCCTGGCCACACTGGTAATAGCCAATAGAGGCAGTGGGAGTGAGGGGAGGCTCCTGGAAGTGCCGTTCTGGGTAAGGTGGGCAGAGAACATCCCTGTCACTTTGGCAGAGTGAGGAGGAGCCTCAGCACTGAACCTACCCTGTTGTTTCTGTTTGAGAATCCCGCAGGCCGCAGCTTCCTAACCAAAGAGGAACTGCTGCAGAGGTGTGCCCAGAAGGCCCTCAAGGTGAGCACCAAGGTGGAGGAAGACAGGTGGAGCCCATCAAACTGCACTTCATGGCAGTGAGCAGTGGCATGGGTCCTGGCCAGCACCTGGAGCTAGCTTAGATTTGTAGCACTACAGGCTCTCTGAGGGTCTCTTTCTCTATCAACAGGTAGTCCCTGGGAATGCTCAATCCTGGCCAGCTCTCCGTTCCCTCCTGCATAGGAACCTGGTCCTCAGGACACACCAGCCAGCCAGGTGAGACCAGATTCAGGGAATACAGGAGGCAGGGACAGGATACATGTGATATTCTTGGTGAGTCCCTACAGTTGCACAATTTGCTGTTGAGGCAGGGAAAGATTGGCCTTTCCCACAAGGAGCCTACACTAAGCTGGGAGGCTGAGAAAAGAGGATTGCAAGTTCAAGGCCAGCCTCGGCAACTCAGCAAGACCCTGTCTCAAAATATAAAAAGGGTTAGGGATGTAGCTCAATAGAAAAGTGCTCCTGGATTCAGTCTCCAGTATCAAACCAACAAAGGAGCCCACACTGTTGGAGTACCAGGAGCATGTGAGCAATGGGGGGCAGCAGGGGATGGAGGATGGGTGCCAGAGTTGTTACAGGAGCTGAAAGCCTTTGCCAAGGAGAGGGCATTTAGCATGTCTTAAATTTTGCTTTTCTTGTTTGTTTGGTTTTGGCAGTGGGAATTAAACCAGAGGGCCTTTACCGCTGAGCTACATCCCCCAGCCTTTTTACTTTATTGCATCTATTTTGAGACAGGGTCTTACTCAGTAGTTCAGATCCTCTCTAAGTTGCTGAGGCTGACCTTGCACTTCTGATTCTCCTGCCGCAGTCTCTGGAGTTATTAAGATTACAGGCATGGCATGTATTAAAATCTGGCTATTAGGCCTCCACCACCATATCCCACTTTCTGAGATCCTAGCTACTTGGTAGGTTGAAGTGAGATTAAAATTTAGCAAGAGGCAGACTCAGAAATTTTAAAAAGCTGGGAATGAGGCTTAATGGTAGAGTGTCCCTGGGTTCAATCCCCAGGGCAAAAAAAAAAAAAAAAACTGGGAGGGGACTCATAGGCAGGTAGGAGAGAATAGAATGAGCAAACGAGGAGAAAAAAGTTTTTGCCTGTGACATGTATTACACAGGGCAAATAACAGTAGGAAGACCCCCAGGAAACTGATCTGAGAGACAAGAAGACAGGGAGCCAGTGGACTTGTTTTTGCACAGGGCTGCCAAGATGGAGAGAGGCCCGCCTAGCTGGGTGACAGCCTGCCAGATGTGAGTGAAGAAGGGAAAGCTATATTTGTCTCCTCCACCTCCCAGGTACTCACTGACCCCAGAGGGCCTGGAGCTGGCCCAGAAGTTGGCTGAGTCAGAAAGCCTGAGCTTACTGAATGTGGGCACTGGACCTGAGAAGCCCTCTGGGGAGGAGTCAGCAGTGCCAGGAGCAGCCTCAGCTGAACTGTGAGGAGAAAAGGGGGGGGCGGGGCAAAAATGAAGCCAACACCACACCTTTATCTCTGATCTACACCTGCTGCCCTACCTTCTGTGGGTTGTAGGGGGATGCCCTGGCACTGGGAGTTCTAGCCTCACATAGAGCACCCCCTCCTTAGTGGTGCCAGTGAAGGAGGGGTCCATCAGCCACTGCTGGAGCTGAGGCCTAGAGAGTACAAGGTGCTATTGTGTGTGGACATCAGCGAGACCAGGGGGTAAGTAGAGGGGGGAAATCCATGAAGATGATCAGAAGATGCTGCAGGGTAGAGCGTACTGGCCTGATCTTGGTCTCCCTCCCTGTTATTTCAGGGCAGGACATAGGCAAGAGCTGCTCCGAGAGCTACAACGGATGCATGTGGCCCATACAGTGCGTAAACTGCACGTTGGGGACTTTGTGTGGGTGGCACAGGAGATCAGGCCCAGAGACCCAGGTAAATGGCTGTGGATGGGCAGGCACTAGAGGCAGGCCTTGGGGAGAGAGGTGGGACACAAGCCAATGGGTTCTTTAACTTCTTGGCAGCCAGACCTGGAGAGTTAGTCCTGGATCACATCGTGGAACGCAAGCGCCTAGACGACCTGTGCAGTAGCATCATCGACGGCCGCTTCCGGGAGCAGAAGGTTCCTTTGCTGGACCTCCTCGCCTTGCTTTTTCTGCCTGCACCAGGGTCACTGCCTCAGCCCAAAGGCAGCTGGGGAGCACTGCTGGGTGTTCTCAAGGCAGAGCCCTCAATGCATGCAGCCACGCCCTATTAAAGCTGCTGTAGGCAGCCCCAGGTTCAGATCCCCTCAGGCCACCAGGAATATAGTGAGAATGGAGGATTCTTAGCTGGGCCAAGGAGCACGTTAAAGACCCCCTCTGTACCCAGCCCCTGCAGTCTTGGTTAAACAGGGCCCAAATGTCTGTAAATAGAAATGCAGAGGCTGTGCCTTGGTCCCTGCTGCTACACTGATCCTAGATCAGAGGCCACATAACCCAAGGGAGGCTTGAAGGATGGGCAGTGTTCAGAAACAGAGAAGGGCTTTCCCACAAGTCACAGCACAAGCTCGGGTGTAGAGGCTCTAAGAGATAGCAAAGATGAGGAGGCTAACTGGTGAGACAGTCACACAAATGTGATGTGATAGACAGCCCAAGCATGTGGGCTTACAGGCCTAACCGTCTGCTCCTCTATCTTCCTCCCTAGTTCCGACTAAAGCGCTGTGGTCTGGGGCATCGGGTGTATCTGGTGGAGGAGTATGGCTCAGTCCACAACCTTAGCCTTCCTGAGAGCACACTGCTGCAGGCTGTCACCAACACCCAGGTAAGCCACAAGGCAGGGCCAGGCTTTCAGGGGATATGGTCTGTGGTGGTTCAGGCCAGGATCTGCCACTTCCTGTGGGTCCTTTTCACCAGGTCATTGATGGCTTCTTTGTGAAGCGCACAGTAGACATTAAGGAGTCAGCTGCCTACCTTGCCCTTTTGACAAGGGGCCTGGAGAGACTCTACCAGGTAAGCAGATGCACCTGTCTCAACTGGTCCCTTACCTGGGCCATCACTTCCCCAAGGAGGAAGGCTCAGAGGCCTAGGACTGGGAAAGACTGCTGGGGGCTGACCCTTAGAGCTCTAGCCTGGCCTTAGTCCCCTCTTCCCTCAGGGACACACCCTACGCAGCCGTCCCTGGGGAACCCCAGGGGACCCTGAGTCAGGGGCCAGGCCCTCCCCAAGCCCACTCTGCTCACTCCTCACCTTCAGTGACTTCAACACAGGAGCCATCAAGAACAAGGTACTGCCTCTGCCCAGTTTTTCTTTAGGCATCTTGGCCCCCACCACCTGACACATGCCTTCCTCAACCTCAGGCCCAGTCTGTGCGTGAGGTGTTCGCCAGGCAGCTGATGCAGGTTCGTGGAATCAGTGGGGAAAAGGCAGCAGCCCTGGTGGACCGATACAGCACCCCTGCCAGGTACATCCCTGGATGGCCTTCTAGGGGTCCTCAGCCCTTGCCCTCCTTGCATGGAATGTAGCTTAACCTGTGCTTTTGGAGAGTGGGCCTGGCTCCATTGGACTGTGCAGAGCCAGGGTTGGGCACCCCCAAGGAGCTGAACCCAGGGTTGCTTATGGAGGTTGGTCAGCCAGGACTGGATGATGTCCCAGATATGGGGGAGGGTACATATGGTGCAGCAGAGAATGCTTCCTGGAGGAGAGGGCTGTGGGGGAGCTTTTGCTAATTCTGTCCCAGTGTTCCCAGGAAGCGGGCAGGGCAGGATGGAGCAGGACCAAAATGCCAGGCACAGGAAGTCTGCTGTGTCCTGACCTCCCCACCCCAGGTTGACCCTATTCCTGCTTTAGTTCTCATTGTGCTGGCTCAGATAGTCAGCCATCAAATACCCCATCCCCAGCCTCCTGGCTGCCTATGATGCCTGTGCCACCCCCAAGGAGCAGGAGATGCTGCTGAGCACCATCAAGTGCGGGCGTCTGCAGAGGTGAGAGTGGGAGAGAATCTGAGGGAGTCTGGGGCCTGGGTCACGCTAGATCCCAGCCAACCCTGCCATTCTCTTCCTGTAGGAATCTGGGACCTGTTCTGAGCAGGACTTTATCTCAGCTCTACTGCACTTACAGCCCCTTGACTTGAACTGCAGCCAGAGCCAGAAGCCATCTGGCTCCCCTCCCCCCAAACTAGCCAGCCTTTTAACCAGGACTTTTGGGGCTACAATAAAAATCTTGATGTGTTTGCAGACTTATGTATTATGGAGGCGACACTAGGCTCCAGGGCCCTTGTGAAATATGCAGCAAGTAGATGAAACCATATGGTCCTGGGTTTTTGTTTTTTTTTTTTCTTATTTTTCTTATGCAGTGCTGAGAGTGGAACCCAGGGCCTCCCAAGTGCTAAGCAAGCACTTTACCACTAAACTACACCACCAGCCTGTCTAGTGTATTTTAAAGCAAGCTTCTTGGGACCTGAAGTTCCCTGGTTAGGGAGATGGAGTCAGTGGGGCATTGCAGTTTTGAATCTGTATAATCAGATGGTCCCTGACCATACAAAATTTCCTTTGGTAAGAGGTTCTGCAAGTTGGAAAAGATGAAAAACTACCCACTGGTTGCCTAATTTTATAGATTAGAAAACATGCCCAGGAAGCTACCTAGGACTTGTTCCATACCTAGTTTGAGACACAGCTAGGACTGGAACCCTGGGCATTCTGTTACTGTCTGGACCAGGGTTTCTCAGCCAGATCTAACACTCAGCTGGGGCCCAGGATCTGCATGCCTTATTACCTTCTTCTCCCTCAGGGTGACTGAAGCCTGTGACAGAGTTCCCAGCTCCCATCAGTGGAGCCCCTCAGCCTGAACACAGAGCCCCCATCCCCCTCTAGGTAGGCTTGGCCTGCCTCCTATAAGCCCAGCCCCTCCTCCAGGCTGAGGTTACCCACCACCTCAGCCACCAGGACTCCTTCTTTCTCCCTTTATTGCCTTTCTCTTTCTGCCCTTCACAACATCTCCCTTTTAGCAGAACAGTCATTCCTGAGCCCCAAGCTCCTTGGCTGCAGGGAGGGTAGCTCCTCCTTCTCCCTTGCTGCAGGTCCCTCCCCTCAGAAGGTGTAGGCCCCCACGAAGATGGTGAGTCTCAGTACAGAGCTGGCCCGGTAGCTCATGAGGGAGTTCATGGTGACCATCTCCAGGTCCAGCACGTACTCCCGGGGGCCCGTCACTGGCCGGGCGAGGACCAGCATGGCGCTGACGTTGTTGATTTGCTGCAGGGCACAGTGGGTGGCAGGAGATGTAGACTGTGTCGGCCCATGTGCCAGGACCCTACCCCAGCATCACCTCCCTCCCTCTGGCTGAGAGGTGGGGAGACAGTCCTGGCCATCAGGCTATAACCCAGGTTCTCATCTGGCTCTGACACCATGTCTCCTCTCTCCTTTACCCTGCCCTCAGATTCTCCTCTCCCTGCCCTTTTAGGTAAAATTACCTAACAAGGGTTCACACTGATGATTCAAGACCAGGTGTGACTTGAAATTGATAGGGAGCTTTGGTGATGCAGAGCAGGCAGATTCCCCTTCGAAGCAATCAGTTTCAAAAACAAAAGCTCTAACGCCAATCGCCTCATCATGCTGAATACAGCACGAGGACCGTGGGTCTGAGACCCTCTCACTGTTCAGTGAGCCACACACAGACCCCCACCCCTACAGCTTATTAACAGAGATGGATTTTTGGACCCCTTCACAAAACTCTGCCACTGTCCTATTTTCATGGGTGAAGAAATTGTGGCCAAATAGGAAAACCAGTCCCAAGGTCTCAAACCCCAGTGCCCAAGGGCCTGTTAGAATTGCCTTTAACATCTATAATTTATACCTTAGGAATATAGAATGTCCCCTGGCTTCCCAAGAAGTCCTACCTCCAAACGGGGAGCTTTGAGAGGAGAGTCTGGGCATAAGTACAATCTAGTTTCTGTTGAGGGCTTCCTGGAATTCCATTTTGGAGTATGCATGTCAGGGGTGGGAGCAGCGGAGAGCCTTACCCTAATGTAGAAGTCCCCTTGTGAGTTTCCAGCACGAATCTGAAAGGCATTGTAGGCACCAGGGTAGACAGAGGTCGCCTGAATCTGGAACACATCTGCTGGCACGCTCCGCTCTGAGGTGATGCTCATGTAGCGGTGCACGATGGATGAAGGCTGCTCCCGACACAGGGGGTTGGAGGCAGGACAGAGGCAGCGGCTGGAGACCCCCCAGGTGGGGGAATATGAATTAGCTCCTGGCCCATCCCCAATATTGCCCAACCCGGAAAGGAGGGACTCCCAAGAGGCTCTGCCTACTTCTGATATAAGACTACAACTCCCACCAGTCCTCGGGGGCACTCACCAGTCCAATAAGATGCCAGTCTGCTCCACAGCCCTCTGGGAGTTTGTAGTTTTTGTGAAGGCAGTACATTGAGCTTACTTACTTGTCTGACACCTGGACATAGGGCTCTAAACAGCGGTTGGTGTCCACACAACGGTAGCCCCCATGGAAGTTGACACAGGTTTGGGCCTCAGAACACTGATGTGCTCCAGACTCACACTCATCAATGTCTGTGCCAAGAGAGGGGGGCTAAGAATCAGGGGCTTTAGGCCACAGGCCTGACATTACTCTGCCCACCCCCCTCCGGGGAACTTGTACCTTGGCAGAGGCGTGTGGCCAGCAGCTGGTAGCCCTGTGGGCAGTGGCACGAGAAGCGGCCTGGCTCATTGACACAGCGGTACTGGCACAGGTAACTGGAGTAGCTGCACTCATCAATATCTGAGGGAAGGCAGGGATGAGGACTCGGGCCATCCTCATAACTGAGTCTCACAAAGGTGTACTGAGAGCCCATTCCCAAGTTAGGCTGAGTGTGGGAAGAGAGGGCAAGAAAAGCTCTGCAGATCTCAAGAGGAAGATAGAGGGTTCAAAGAAAAGTCTGGGTATAGCTCTGTGGTAAGAATTCAGCATGTGTGAGATCCTGGATTCAATCCCCTGCACCACCAAAAAGAGGAAAAAAAGAAAGGTCTTCCTGCCTTCTGGCTCACAGCTGTCTCTTCACCCTAGGACTGTACATACAATAAGTGGGGTGGACCCTGGGAATCTGGAGGCTTGGGTATGAATCCTACTGATTTGGGGGGGGAACTTCAGTTTCCTTGTCAATAAAATGAGCAGTTAAACAAGTCCTGAAAGTGCAGCCTGCTCTAGTTTTCAGTAATCTGATAATTCCTGAAGTCCACAATCAGGCCAAGCACCCAGTCACCTCTGCACACTGTGAACTACACAGGGAGGGCACCATTTTTCTGGCTTTGTTCCCCTCATGCTGCCAGGCACCAACAAGGCTGTATTCCACAGTGAAGCATAGTATAAACAGAGACCATGCCAGGTGACCTGGATAGAACCCTGGCACTATCTCACCCTTGCTGTGTGAACTTCGGCAAGTTACTGAACTTCTTAGTGGGAAAATGAAAGTCACTGTTTACCCAGGACTTATGCTTATTTTCTGCAATCCTCCCACAAACCTGGAGAGAGATATCAATGTCCTCATTTTGGAGAAAGGAAAAAATCGTACCCACCTCCTAGATTAAAAACAGGATGAAATGAGGCCAAGTATATGAGGAAAGTGCCCAGAACAGCCTAGTTCTCAGTAAATGGTTCACTTTTTAAGATCTGATGAAGCCTGTTATTGTCTGACTTCACCCTCCATACAACCCATTGTATAGAAAAAACAGGCTTGGAGAGAAGAGTGACTTGCCCTAGTGCAGATTCAAACCCAAGTGGGCATGACTCCCAGGAAGAGTAGCACCCACATCCTTCTCTGTTTCCCCAGTGAACTTCAGTAGGGACCTAATTGCCTTCCCCACCAGCCTAGCCCAGAGTACATAAGAAATATGTGGCTACAGAGGATAGGACATTAAAGAAAGGACAGTGTGGCCAGATGCTGCAAAGCCTGGGGAACCAATGTAGGAGCTGGGACAGGGGTGGGATTCTCACCACTGCAAGAGAAGCCATCTCGGTGCAGCTCATAGCCCTGGTGGCAGCGACACAGGAAAGTCCCATAGGAATTGAAGCAGCGCTGCTCACATGGGGCCCCCATGTCACACTCGTTCACATCTAGAGGTTCCAGGAAGGAAAAAACAGGAAGGGTGAAAGCCAAAGAATGGTCCAGAGCCCCCACTCCACCTAGGCTGGTCAGGAAGGAAGCTCCCTGACCTCACACCTCCCTGCCCAGAAGCCTGGCCTGGCCCAGCCTCACCCACACAGGAGCGGTTGTTGGGCCCCAGCTGGAAGCCCGGCTCGCACTGGCAGCGAAAGGAGCCAGGTAGGTTCACGCAGCGGTGCTGACAATAGCGGTAGCGGCACTCGTCTATGTCTGAGAAGGAGGGCAGAGCACAGAAGTCAGGTGGGGCCCAAGCAGGCTGGGACTTAAAGGCTCAGCACCCATAGTCCTGTTTGTGTCTAAGGGGACTGTGTCAGCCAGGAAACACCCACATACAATCTTCCGTGTCTGATGGGAGGGCACAGGTGACAGGGGCCTAGGGGTGGGCTGGAATAAGGGTCAGGTGCTAGGACAAGAGACAGGTGAGAGTCAGGTGCTAGGAAGAGAGCCAAGCCAGAGACACAGAGAAAGGTTGCTCCCTGAACTCACCCACACACTCAGGCCCGATCTTGCGGTAGCCATCAGGGCAGGTACACTGGTAGGAGCCAGGAAGGTTATGGCAATCCTGGCTGGGCCGACAGTCATGCAAAGCTTGGGCACACTCATCCACATCTGCAGGAGATCCCACACGCCATCAAACATGAGTGAGACACCTCAACTTGGGAGGGTGACACAAGCCACATGCCTCTCACATGGACACATGGGTGATGAGTGACCCCAAAAAAGAGGAACAGATGAATTAGACTATCCAAGCAGCACAAGTAAGAGTCCATGTGGGGGCACCCCTAACCTATGACACCCATCAGGGAAGCTCAGGAAACAAGACCTCGTCCATACTCTACCCTCCTCGGGGCAACACTGACTCCAGGATCCTCCCTCCCCCAAGGCCTATGGCTCCCAGGGGTGGGGTCCAGACCAGAAAGAGGGCAGGGACAGAGACTGGGAGGCAGAGTTTTTGCATGTCTCTGCAGGAAACAAGACAGGATCCCAGGGGCTGGCGGGACAGCGGGACATGCACAGGGCCTGCCACGGTGAGGACGTGGATGAGGATATGGATGGCTCCCTGAAGTCTTTGAGCAAGGGAGGAAAATGAGGTCTGAGTTTTGAAGTAGCTTGCTGAGAAGAAAGGAAGCCTGGATGCAGAGTGGTCCCCACTCACCCACACAGCTCTCCTGTTCGTCGGGCTCATAGCCTGGCGGGCAGGAGTTGGGGTGTTGAGCAGGGGGCACTGGTGGAGGGGGTCCCTCGCCATGTAGGTCATTAATAACAGCAGCTGAGCGGGGCAGGCACAAGTAGCCCCCGTAGTGATTGATGCATTTCATTTCTCCCTTGCAGGCCTCAGGGATGGTAAGACACTCATTGACATCTGCAAAGATGATAGACACAGCCAGTCTCCTAGGCTGGCCCTGGAGGGAGTGGGAGGCAAGGAGCCTAGCATAGTCACCTTTGCACTGTGATTGGGTAAGGCCTTCTCTACTCAACAAGCCAAGCTGCCTGCTCAGGACCCCTCCCCAGATTCTGCCAGGGCTGGAGGTAGGACAGCTGTTCCCACTATTGCCCACATTCTCCCACCTCCAAGTGACTCTCATCCTTTCTCAAAGCTCTAGCTAAAGAGAGATTTGCAGGCCTCTGACCCACCCCTATGGACACTGTCTTCCCAGATTTCAATGGGACAAAGAGCTGGCATAAGAGAGTAGTTCAGAAAGGATGTACACAACCTGGCCCCTCCGGGCAGGGCCTTATTGCTGGTTGGTCTATTGCGGGGAGGGGGTAGAGGCAGAATTTCCTGAGTTTTTTGGACAGGAAAGGGCCAGCCTTAGATGAGCTGGCTCCCAGGGAATCAGAGTCAGCCTGGGTCCAACAGGACTGGGCTGAGAACAGGACCCTGAGGTCCTATTGCAGCTTTTGAAGGTGGTGGTGTCCTTGGGAAGCAGAAATTCCCTTCCCGGTTCCTAGGGGTGGTTTGTCCCCCAGGCACACTCACCCCGGCAGTGCTGACTGTCTGGGTCCCACTCATAGCCATCTGTGCATTCCTGGAAGGAACCAGAGGTAACCATTGATCACCCTAGATTTCTTCCAACCGGCCAGGCCAAGACAAGGGCCTGAGCTCCACCACCCTCCGGCCTGCTCCAAACAATGGTGTCCAGGTCTTCCACCAACCAGGGGAAAGGAGAATTTTCCCCAGCAGCAGCCACCCCAAGATCTTGGTCTCTCTATCCCTGCCCATCCCATCCCAGGTCAGTGGCCCCACTGTCCCCACCGTGTAGCTGTCCGGCTCCTCGGAATCCTGGGGAGACGCTGCCCCCAAGAGCAACAGCAGCAGCGCCCAGAGCAGTAGTGAACCGGGGAGGCAGGAGGCGAAGGGGAGCATCCTGGGGCTGGGAGGTGGTGGGCAGGGGTCAGGGGCCTCGGCCATGGCACCCCCCATATTCTATCTTGGGACTCGGAACCCTGGTCCCAGCCTTCTCCAGCTCAGGACCACGTTTAGGGCCCTGAAAGCCTTCCGGAGCTGGGGGCTGACTCCTCTCGCAGGCCAGGGTCCCAGGCCCACCGCCCGGGGCCGCCCCGCCCCCGCCGAGTGCCTAGCGTTGTGGGCCGAGGAGCACAGGCCTCTCGGCTCTGCGCTGCGCCGACTCCACGGACACTCAGGCCTGCGCCCTCCTTCCACGACTGCCACTTACTTGGGCCCGCAGCGACCAGCTACTAAGCTGACTCCAGCAATGCCTGCGGGCAGACGGACAGGCGGACGGCGCAGC